CTGGAAAGTAGGGATTAACAAAGAGTTTCAATCTTCTCCACAACAAGTTTCTATGCATAATGAAGCCATGAGGTCCACATTGCTTGGTAGAAACGATAAGGCCAAAAGGGTGATTCATTAGGGTCTTATGGTATTGGTTACAATCAGTCCAATGATTTGGTTTCAAAACCGATTTGGTACAATAACCGGAGAAACTATATTTTGGAGAAGAGAATGGAACAATGCAAGAGTTTTAACAGTGGGGCAATTCTGTTACAGAACTCCCAACAATGTGGAATGGAATGGATAGTGATGGAGGTACAGGTGTCATTGCTTCTTTGACTTCTCCTGGGTTCTTGTTGGACATTCTCAAGACTGGTATCGGCTGGAAAAGCCTCGCACAAACGGCGGAGGTAGCGAGAAGCCGGCACAATCGTGAAGTAGAGCTTTGCCAAAGATGAAATATTAAAAAATGGTAAATAAAAATTTTGTCGCTAAAATACTTTAGATTTATAAAAGGTCTACAATTAGTATTTTATCTAAAGTTGAGTGGTTAAAATAAAAATTAAACATGTCACGTTATCAAACTAACGTCAGTCAACGTAATAGTGACTACATCTTAATTAAATAAAAAAGAAAGTGGTCAAATTTTATATTTTTTTAATTCAGTGAAAAAAATATACAAAACTTAAACGAAAATGATCAATCTTGTAGTTTACCCAAAATATAAATATTAACCAATTGAGTAGATTAAGTGGTTAAGGTCATCTCTAACCCTTATCTCTACTCTACAACATCTCTATCTCTACTCTAAAGATGAAACAATAATTTATCTCCAGCACTATCTTTACATTACCACCAATTCTACTTTATTAACAATATTTAACTATTATAATATTGATTTTACAAATATAAAATAAAACATATACATTTCTATTAAATATCAAGATAAAAAGCATAAATAAAACATTCATAAATAACATTGCGAAAATACAAATAAATAAAAAAATTACAATTCATAATATTAATGCGAAAAAACATAAAAAGATAGTGTAAATTATAATAAAAAACATAAAAGATAGAATAAGAGAAAATAATGTAACAAAGAAAATGAAAAAAATAACAAAAAAAATAACAAAATCAGAAATCAGAAATCAGAAAAACAACAAAATATATATATATAATATGTAGCGCAGGTACAGTACAACTGTAACTGTCTTCACAATCCAACATTAAAGTGACGATAGGTTGGAGTTGAAATTCATCTCCAAAATGGAGATTGCAGCCACTCCAGCGATGCGCTGGAGTTGGTCTAAAGAAAATATTGTTCTCACTTACAGTCTTAGGTTCGAATAACTACATCTGTAGGGTATATATGCATGATAAATAATTAAAAAAATTATAAATAAATACTATCATATATTCATCTTAGAAATTATTCAACATATATGATTAATATTTAATGTGATGATGTAAAAATTTATACAGTGTTAAAGAACTAGATGATGATATATATATGCCATAATATTTTAAAACTAAATTCAACTAAATAATTAATTTATGATGATATATTCTAGTTTATTCAATTAACGTATATAACGTTTTTTGAACAACATTAATGCATCATATATTAGTACGTGAAATATCTAGTTAATAAGTTATACGCATACACTATGGTGTGAAAATGTTTTACACAAACAAACGCGAGATTTTTTGTCACGAGATATAAATCTATATATCTATTTTAACTGAATTTGGATTATATAGTTTATGTTTATGGATAGATTTTTTTTATTTTGTTTGATTTTATTTTGTGTTGGGTTTTTTAATTTTAATTGAATATTATGATTTGTTTGTCGATTTAATTTTAATCTTATGTTATGATTTGTTTTTTGATGTAATCAGATTTATTCGTATCTATCTTTTGTTTAATTTTTTAGTTGAATTTATAGTATTTTTCTTTATAAAATCCTTATATGATCTCAAGGGACTAATTGTTTGTGTAAATAATTATAAGAAAATATTTTAATTATGAGTTTGATTTACAACAATGATTGTAAACCTTCATTGTATGGATTTTTTTAATAAAATTAGTGGATTCTATAAAATAAAATAAAATAATAAAAAACTTATTTTCTTATTTACAATAAATTATCTGTTGAATGGTTAGGGGTAAGCTTTCGATCGATCAAGCCGAGTAAAAAAATTTCGAGTTATTCAAGTTGACGAGTCCTATTTTATAAATCAAATTTGATTTAATTTTTTCAATTGAGTCCAGTTTATAAAACTCGAGTCTAGTTTGGTTGTTTGAGTTTATGTTTAAATTTAATTGTAAATATTTATAATATTATTGTACTATTTGATTCCAATTTAAATGATTTTCTATAACTATATACAATATATTTTTTTACAAATGTGATATACATATATTTATACAGAATCGAGAGACTCGACTTAAACTTGAAAATCAATCTACTGATTATTAAAAATTTCGAGTTATATTTTATAACTCAACTAAAATTTAATATTTTTTTCGAGTCGATTTGAGCTTATGAAATTATGACTCATAGTCAATTCGAGTCGAGTTTTTAAATTAATTCAAATCTGAAAATTTTGTTTTTGCAGTCGAGTCTAATTTTTCTCAACGCTATAGATGGTACACAGAAAATCAATGCAATCAATAAAAGGTGAGCCGGTTGAGCCGTTCTTAGTATCGCAAGAAAAATAATGAATTCTCAATATTTTGGACTGGGCCAAGCCCGAGTAACACTAAAACACCAATTTATCATGAAAGATTTTATTTTTATTATATATATATATATATTGCTCTTATGTATTTATGAAATGCAAACAAAATCAATTGAATTTCTGCATTAAAACACAATTAAACCCTTTTTGAACTTAAAAAAATATATTAAGTGTTTTTTTATTTGTTATCTTGATCAATTTGATCTATTAATTAACAAACGAACAAATTAAATGATAACATATGACATTTGTCTAAATCAATAAACACACACCGGAGTTCTTGTACTTAAGCTTAACACTGTATCTAAACTCGATTCGCTAATTTCATTAATCGCCGTCTCTCGCATTGCATTAAAGCATTTCAACCGGTTTTCCTGTCACAAAAAAAGTAATAGATTCATTCACTAATGTAAAATAATTAAAAGAAAATCAATGCCATAGTGTTACCAGTTTCTTTATTCACATATTCACAACACAAAATTGAGATTTCGAAAGATGGAAACTGCAATGGGAATAGCTCATGAGATGCTGATGCTGCAATTATTGATGGTTCTATCTGTTTTCTGATAAAAGCACATAACAACAGACATGTTCTATGTTCTGTTTGTAATAAATTATTATTACAAGCTTGGAAGATTATGTTTGTAGTTCTATTTTTAAATGCTCGTCTCAAAGTTGGATCTTTAAGTTCAAACAAGATCTAAAGAAACAGATAAACCAGAAGGGTCTTATCGATCTCATTCGCCGATTCAACGTATCAAGAATCATACGCTCGATCCACTGCTTTGCCGGTACGTCAAAGATGAATCCTTCTACTCTCTGTTTCATTTGTATCATCAGTTTTTACATGAAGGTAACAAACAATTATGGAAACCAAGAGAGATGATTTTCGAACCTGCAAATTGGAGGAGGAAGGCTTTTCTCTCATATTTGCAGCCAAAGAAATACAAGCCATCACAAGTAGCCTCAACATCGACCAAAACTCTGTTTGGTTACCGAGAAAACAAATGAAAATATATGCAGCTAGTCTACATACAGGAATTTCTTGCCTGGAGATGAACCGATAGATCCATGTATTTTTACCCAGGTATGTCTTGTAAGGATCAAGGCTACATGAGTCATGTGTCTTGTAATTTTTTTTTTTTTGCATTTTATACAGTTAATCTTAGTCATTCATATCATTTTTTTTACGTTTTATACTATATCAACCGATTTTGTCGAATAAAAATATTATCATATCCGACCATTATAGATAATAATTTGGATAATATATATTTTTGAATTTTAAGAATTGCCATGTCAAGATTATGCGATAAAATAACTAGACTTGGACCCTCCTTTCAATTAATAAAAATTTGAATAATCAATTAAGGTTGGTTTTTATGTAAAATAGTCTTGAGAATCAAATTCCAAATGCATTTGATAAAAGAGAAAACATTAAAATCTTTAAAAATTTATATACTTTTAACATTATTATAAAATATAATTATATTTAAATATATTTGAATTTATAATTTTTATATATTATAATAATAATGTCAATTAAACTAATATTCAATCAACTTATATTTGAATATGATATTTTTAATTAATTTAAAAAAAACACTTATTTCACTTTATTTTTAATCATATAAGTGACTCTTTAAATTAAGACTTGTAAGTTCTTAGATAATATATGACAAAGAAAAATTATATTTATCTACGCACTTAATTTAATATATATATAAGTTATAGTGACTTGATGATATCCTTCAATCTCATCACTGTTAATTTTAATAGACAGTCGTTAAAAAATCATTTACATGCGTATTTATCACGATTGATTTTTGTTAGTATATTCATAATGATATTTTACTCTGTAAAAACATAATTGGTCTTCTGATTCAATCTCCATTTTTTAAAATCTAGTCTCCGTGTACGTAATAAGATACCATGAAGTGCCTACAATTCAACACAAAGGGTTGGGCGACTCCCAAACTTGTAAATCCAATTACCTTGATTATTTCCCCACCATAATATCACTATTATTTCCCAGCATTAACAACCATAGTTGGGTCTTTTCCATTCTTTCAAGTTTATCGCGCAAAACTCATCAAATGTATATTTTGTGAACATTCAAAAGTCACGGCATAACCAAACAACATTGAGCCTACAAACGAACACTGAAATATCTATCTATTTATTTAGATGGAACTTTATGGTTTTCTATACAATTTGTTTAAAAAATCAAAACCCCAAACTGGCAGTTTTAATCACACAAAACCTTCCAAAAGAGAGAAGAAAATCCATCGTTCAACACCCAATTCATGATAATAAACATCAAATCAACCTGAGTAAATTTTAACTAAATTACATGCAATTATTGCCGTAGATATAACCACTTACTGGCCTCATTGTAGGACTCGACCCTGTGGTGTATCCGATCCACTTCTTCCCTGTTCTTCCCCACCCGGCACCACCATTCCTGAGTAAACCGGCACCGCACCCGCATTTCTAACTCCAAAATATATAGGCTGTTTCACACCGTCAGGACCCGGTCTTATTGCCGGGTCATAATGATCCACGTGCGTAACCGGCCTGTATGCTTGACCAACACCAGGAACTGGTTGATGATACCCAACGGGTACTTGACCCGTAGAAATTGGATATTGCTGGACAAACTGAGGCCGGATTTGAACAGGTTGAACAGGACCCGGAACATAATAAACAGGTATTTTCTGTACAGAAGGAGCTGGATAACGAGAATCCGAAACATAATGCCACAGAGGAGGATTACCCGAATATGCCGTTGTCTGCGAAACGGGTTGCTCCACGAAACTCTCCGTTTGATTCTGCTTTGTCTCAAAACCCGGTTCGGGGTTAGCGGGTTTGATCTTGACGGATGGAAGATCCGGCATTGGAGGTACAACCGGAGCTGATGAGGTGGAACAAAAGGGTGATGAAGAAACAACTGGGGCAGGAGAACCCGGATCCGAAACCGAGATATTATCATGGAAGAGGTGACGTGTACCTAATTTCGTGCCACGAGGTTGAACCTCATCGGAGTTATCGAACCCGAATAAATAATCGGGTACCTCCGACACGATCGAGGAAACCTCGGAACGGCCGCTTTCGAGCCCGGAAGCATTGGCTCCACTGTTGAGCGCATCTAAGAACCAGTGCTCGCGATTTACCGAGCCGTCCAAAAGTGAGCTGATGCTACTGGCTCGTGAGTCATCATCGCCTTTGGAGAATAGAAAAAGCCGCAGCCGAGCTAGCCGAGGGTTTTGATTCTGTGCTAACCGCTTATACTCTTCCATCATGTTCTCGAGATCTTCGTCGGTAGTCACCGAGATCAACGCATCAAGATCCTCGTTTGGAATCTGATACTTAACACTCGCGTTCGCAATCCCTGATCACAAAAACAAAGTAAGACCAGATTAAAAGAATTCAAACAAAGGATTTCCTTCTTCTTTTTTTGTTATTTAATGGATTGCCTGAGAGTTTGGAGAGTTTGGTGGTGAGGGATGCGAAGGAGGTAGACCGATGGACGGCGACGATTCGAGTATCGCCGCCGACGTAACGGAGCTGATTATCATGCGGACGAGGGAGAATCTTGCCGCCGAAACTGCAAATGAAGCGTACACGTGTATGAGTGTCGTTCATAGCATGGTGGTCGGAGCGTGGAGAAGACGCGATGGAATCGGTGGTGGAATCCAACTCAGAGAGGTGATGCGATGACATGTTGATGGCTGCTGGTAGTTACTTGTTGCCGTTAGGGGGAAAATCGGTTAAAGGAAAGAAAAAAAAGAGTAAAGACTGAGTGAAGGAAAAAAGTTATGTTTTTTCCTTTATTGCGTTGGATTCTCCGTTGAAGAATGTCTGCGTCTGAAAAGCCCTGAATGAACTAGAAGTGGCGGTGAGAAATCATATATGACAAACGAATCAGGACCCTTAAATTTGCCTTTGACGAAATCATGCAAGCCAACTCCAATTGTCTTTCAGTATCAAAGTGGGCCGCCCCTACACTATACATAAATTAATGATTTAATATCTGTATTTCAAAGAACTTCTTTGGTGCATAAAAAATTGAACTCCACCGTGCAAAGGGTTCTATTTCTAACTCTAAGCCACTTGATTTATAGAGTTAGTTGCTAAGTTAAGTAATTAGTATGTAAGCAATGACGTTGACTTCGACTAAACAATGACCCTATTTGTTTCTCAAGAATTAATTTTTCAAATATGTTGCATTAAATTTATTGCTGAAAGATATAAGATTTTGTTCAGGATTTCTTTCTTTTCCCTAACTATACTTCTTCTCTCTTTTTTAGTCTACAATTCTAATTTTAATATCGGTTATCTATCGTCGAAAATTACTACTTTTTTATTCTTTTGCATAATATGTTCTTTGTTTTTCTTTTTCATTTATGATTGTTTTTTTTTTTTCTCTCGTGATATGTTTTTTCTCTACTCTTATGGCACGTTTTTTATGACTTTGATATTTTTTTTTATATTTGCGATCGTGTTGGTGTTCGCACAAAGATCCTCCCGCATTTGTTTTTTGATTGCTTTATCAGTAATCACATATTGTAACGTTTCACTTTAGTAAAATGTTATTTACTGATATAATGAAAATTGTATAACAAAATAACCTGCCAAATTATTTAGTTCACTCACCACTCTTTTATCACTTCGTAAAGCGTTTGATTTGATATAGACAATGAGTTTTATGAAGGTTATTGTGTTCTTTTGATATTGTACGTCATTCTCAATGAATGCTTTGTTTTTCTTCATATCTTTGGGTTTAATATTTTTGTTTTATGCATGAGTTTTTGTGTGTGACTATTGTCCAAATTTTCTCTTTATGTTTGGGTGCGTTATAATTTTGATTCATCCTATTATTTTTGTTAATGAAATTTAGTTACCAATGTTCAAAACAAATATTGTCAAAATAGTCCAACCTTTTAACATTTTGTCATTAGGAACCTAAAATTAAAACTAAAACTAAACATATTGTTAATCAATAGGACAGCTGATGTTATATTTTTATTTTTTTCAATAATGATGTGATATTATTTTATGGTGACACATCAATATTTTTATTAATTTTTTAACGAAAAAATATCAAAATAATACTAATACTAAACATTATAATGATTTTGAGTAAAATAATTAGATAATTAGAATGAAATAAAAGTGATAACTATAGTACTAGACATACAGTATACCGTAAATAGTTTGAGGAAGAAAGTAGCCAATTCGAGACAGGAGCTAAGTGCGTAGCTAGAATTCGTAAGTGCGTAGCTAGAATTCGGAAGTGCGGGATTTGGAAAATGTAGAGGCAGCGGAGGATTAGCAAAATTTGATTCAATTTAAAAAAATTATTTTTTTATTTGATTTGATGTTCAATTTTTTAGTAAAATAATATTTAATTTGTAATTTTATAAATTCATATTGAATCAAAAAGTTTTAAAATAAATTTTAAGTTATAAAATAAGTTTTGAATAACTCATTTTTTTAGTAATTAATGAATTGATTTTTATTTTTTTATCAAGCCCTCAATTATATATATACATATGTGAAAATATAAAGAAATATATATGTATATCGCATATAAAAAAGTAAAAATAAATAAATAAATATTATATGATTATAGAAAGTTATTTAAATTGACATCAATTAATACCATAACGTTTAAAATATTTACAATTAAATTTAAATAAAAACTTGAACAACTCAATTTAATTCAAATTTAATATATTTGTATCAATTAAAAAAAAACTCATTAATTAAAATAACTTAAAAAATAAAACTCATTCAATCCCATGCACACCCTAAAAGCTACTACATGCTGATGAAGCACGGATGTCATTGTCTGACTGTATCCCGCAACGTGGCCACCAGTCACTTCCTTTAAAGTATAAATTTTTTTTAATTTTAAGTCTTTCACAGAAACTGCTCTGTACCTGACGTTGGAGAAATCCTACTATCCTATCTCACCCCATTACATATGGGAATAGGGTAAGGTAATTTTATTAGATTGATCCATTTCCTTTTATATTTTATACACTTATGCACACTAAATTCAAAAAAAAATATTGGTCACTTATATGATTAATTTATTAAATTTTGATCAATTACATCATTGGTTGTTCAGTTTGATCACTGAACCATTAACTCTCTCCATTCTAATGACACTACACGTTAGTCGAAAGAGATTAATTTTTATTTTACTCTTAATTTTTTTAGAGTACTAATTTGGCATTAAACTTTATATGAAATATCATTTGATCCTAATATTTAGATAAAATATCAATTTGACCCCTAAATTTAACCAAAATCTCATATTACAGTTACCACTTGCTACTGTCATGTCGGTTACAGTCAATTGGCATCATCGTTGTCATCATCGAGGACTAGACTCCAAAATTAATTGTTCACGTTCTTTTGATATCTCAAATATGAATCTAGTCAATTTTTTAGAACCCTTTAACTTTCTTTAAAATTAAACTATAATAATAAATTTATTATTACTTGTTGAAACCTTTTGACCACGATTACCTTCTCTCTAAATCTAGTATTGCTTGTTGAAACCATATTTCTTCGTCTTATCGTTCTTTCTCTGCATTCTATAGGTTTATTTTTTTTTATCTGGATTGTACTAATCGTTAAGAATCATCAAGATAGATTTCAGATAGAATAAATTGATGATTATTAGGCATATTTTAGAGGTTGACTAGTTCATTTCATATATCTTCCAAAAATAATAATTATATTCTATCAGATCCATATATCAGTTTAATTAAAAAAAGTTCAAATATTAACCTTTGAAAATTTTAACAGAGTTACAGTTTAAGATAACTTATTAGATACCATTCAAGTTCAAGTAATTAATTAAAATAATAAATCTTAAAATCAAATACAAATATCAAAATAAATATTCATTAACGCAAACCTTTTCGATACAAAGATGAAAATGAGTAGGCTATAGATTGTCCAAACCCAGTAGTTTTGTCTCGAAGGTCGTGTTTGGCCAGAAAGCTTTAGAGCTGGTTCTTCCAAAGGGGCCATGGGCGAGAAAATTAATTAATTTTTGAAATAAATAAAAAAAATAGTTATTTTTATTATTTTATATTAAAACACTTGTTTGTACACTATAAAAAATTAAGTTGATAAATCAGTCATAAGATGAAGAGAGGAGATTAATACGTTCCGTGAGAAAGGTCCCACGACACTCCACTGGAGTATTCCTTCGCCTACGACCAAAGAGAAGCACGTGTAATTTTGCCCTACACCACTTTGCGGAGATAATGTGGTCATTTATGTTTGTTAAAAAATTAATGAAAAAATAAGTGTTTAATTAGGTGTTTAAAGAATTTTTCGTTGTAAATCGTTTCTTAATATTTTTTCTGTTACACTATTAGGAGTTAAACGTTTTCTCTGTTACACTTTTAGGTGTTCACACAGTAACAACCGTTAAAAAATCATTAAGTGACATGTGTCATTCTTATATTTTGACTTAATGTAAAAATAAGTGTCCAAACTATACCTTAAATTAATTTTAGGTGTCTAAAGAATTTTTTGCTAAGAATATGTTCCTAACGTTTTTGACATTACACTTTTAGGTGCCTAGGCTCTAATAATAGTTAAATTCGATTGTTACCTAACACGTGTCGCGTTTATTTTTTTTAAAATCATTATCTTAAAAAAAGTTAAAATATTACTTTAAAAACATTAAGTAAAAAAACTCCCCTTCCGCCTACAAAAATTTCCCCTCCTCATTTGCGTTTAAAACCCCTTCTATCATTTTTATAAATCCCTAAAGTTAATTTAGGATAACAATGATAAATTTAAAAATAAGATTTGGGATTTGAGTATTAAGTTTAAGGGTTTAAGTTTAAATTTATGAATTTAAAGGCATTATGACGACAAAAAGATGGATGATCAATAGTGGAGGTTCGGTGATGGGTAAGTGACCGTTCGGTGATGACGAAGACGGTTGGTGATGATCGACGATAGTTGGTAATAAGATTGAAATGAAAGATTTTAGGGATGTAAGATTTTTTAATTTTAAAAAATTATTTTTTAATTAATAATATTATTAAGTTTTATTAAATAATGATTTAAAAAATATATACACATGAGACATGTCAATTACAAATTTTTTAACAATCGTTACAACCTATACAACTAAAAATATAACGTTGAAAACGTTAGATATATATTCATAACGAAAAATTCTTTAGGCACATATAAGGTAACTTAAGGTATATTTTACGAATTTATTTTTACGTTAAGCTAAAATATAATCTTGACATGTGTCACTTATCTTAACGGTCGTTACTGTATAGGCAGTTAAAAGTGTAACAGAGAAAGCGTTAGAGGCTTAAAAGTGTAACATAGAAGACATTAAATATTTTTTTTAACGAAAAATTATTTAGACATCTAAAGTTAACTTAAGGGGTGTTTGGTTCAAGGATTGTGAGATTCCAATGGGATGAGAATCCCATATTCCCATGTTTGGTTGGTCGGGAATCTCATTCCCGGTAATGTTTTATTACCAATGGTAGATTTTTTGGAGTATATTATCGGGAATGTCATTACCTCCCTTCCCTTAGGTATTGTAACATTACCGGCGTTTTGGACTAAAATGCCCTTAAATTATTATTTTTTTCAAAAAAACATCACTATTCTGTAATTAAATAATAAAAATTCTACGAATGTTAAATTACAAATTTATCCTTAAATTATTTTAGATTTACAAAAAAAAATCTATAATTAAAATTTTATATGAAGTTCAGGGGTTAAATTTTTTTACCCTTCATTAAACCTTTTTTATATTTTTATTTTTGTAAAAAAATTATATAAATATTATGAATTTAATTTTTTAAAGAAAATATATAATATTTTACAATTTGTAATATTATACAAATATATAATAAGGATAATTTGGTCAAATATGCATTCCAATAATCTTTTATTCCTTTAACCCAACACAGTAATCTTACATTCCTGCTAAACCAACCAAACACAAAATACAATATTCTCAGTAATCCTATTAACTGGTAATCTTTTATTCCCACTGATAATCTTACATTCCGTAAATCAAACACACTCTTAGAGTATAATTAAGTAATAAGTATCGCTTAAATATGTATTGAGTTCAAGGCCTTGTTAATTTAAAAAATTCATATTTGGACACTCACCTACCAGTACATCACAAGTAGACTCGAATTAATCAGGGCAAAGTGTTAAAAAATCTAGAAGATAAAAAAGTAGGGACAAAACTATGTTTTGTTTCGGGGGCCAGTGCCTGTATATTTTAATAATTAGAAAATATAGATAAATATTAAACTACACTTTTTAATTTTGTTTTTATCACGTTATTTTTATGATTAATTATATTTTTTAATTATATTTTATCTCATTATTTTTATGATTAATTATATTTTATATTTTATTGATATTGATTCCATCGATGATGAATAATTTTTGTTGACGACTTAAAAATTAATTTTGTTTTTGTTTTCGACAATAAATAATATTAACATCACACATTATATTGACACGACCTAGGTAAAACTGGCTAAAAGTCAACAACATCAACACATTGCTTTGGTGATTTTCGGTCCATTCATTATGGAGAACTTAAAATTAAAAAAGAAGGAACTGTCAATCGTGTTGACTTCCTCATGAGGTAGATCCCCAAATTAAATCCTAATAAATATATTATGTAATTCATTATCTTCTTCACGTTCTGACAAAACCCTGATCTCACAATCATACAGGGTAAACTACAGATATCATCGTTGAACTTTATTATTTCTCTATTTTCTCAATGAATTTTAAATCTTTTCAATTTACTCACTCATTTTACACCGGTTAAACCGCTACTAGTGAACCGTAAGGAATTGCTAAATCGGCTATGAACCGTTCAAACCGGACCGGACCGTGAACCAGTTGAAATCTGATTCTGTTTTTTTTCTAAAAAAAATTAAATCAAACGACGTCGTTTGTTAAACAAGCCGAGTCGAACTCGAGTATTGCTGAGCTCGACTCGAACTCAAAAACTTTAAAAGTAAACTCAACTCGACTCAAAAACTCACGAGCTAAAAATTATCAAGTTCAACTCTAACTCAAAATATAATATTAAAACTTGAACTCAAATAAAATTTAAAAGCTCGATTGAAGCCTGAAATTCGATCTCGAAGCGAAAGAATAATTGCTAATAATATTCTTCACCACCCATTTGCTGCTCACCAACCTTGGCACTGAGAGGCGTTGTTGGATCTTGTCCCGACCTTGCTAAGAATTCTCCAAAGCAGTGACACGGATATCCATGGAAACACAACTTTAACAGTTGATAGTACATATATGTAAGATAGTGCAATGTTGAAAATGTTTCGTGACGACATTTAGTCCTGAGAAGACGACGACGACAAATACTTACAGTAAATAAAATAAAAAATTGTTAAAGAGAGGGAGTAAAAAGAAAGCTTACAGTTGTGGTAAAAGGAGACGTGAACCATGATTTTGGGCAGAGGCATTGTTTGTCTCAACGCTTTGACACTACTACTTGCCTCTACCAAAGGCTAGCAAAATGGTTTTATAAGGTAAAACCTAAAACTACTAAAAGCCTCAAAAATGAGAACAAAGAATAAAATAATAATACTCAAATAGTCTCTCATCATAAGAAATGAATAGCTCAACAAAGAAAAAAAATGGAGCTTTGGTTCGTTCGGGTTGATGACAAGAAACAGAGAGAAATGAGAGATGGAGGAGGAGGAAGAAAAATGGTTCGTTCGGGTTGATGACAGAAAATGGAGAGAAATGGGAGGTGTAGGAGGAAGAAGAAGAAAGAAGAAAAAGGGAGAAAATAAAGAAAAACTCATTAATGTATAAAGTTTAGTGATTAGAAAAAAATATTAAAAGTAAAGTGAGTGAAATAAAGAGAGACTAAAGTTTAGTGAGTAAATTTGTAATTTACTTAATCATACAATAGAATATATATAATATTAAAAAGAGTTAACTTCATCATATCTCCCTAAACTATGACTTTTATTCTAAATAAATCCTTAAACTTTTGATCATTTCAGTTTCATCGTCAAACTATGACTCTCATTCTAAATTAATCTCTAAACTTTTGAATATTTCAATTTCACCCACAAAGTCATCCAAATATGTAATTGGTTTCAAGCATAGTTTAACCTAAAATTTATATAATTTTTTAACGTAGTTTAAGTGGTAGTAATCTCTTGCAAGTTGTCTAATGTTTAGCTCTTTTCTCTTTTAAATTTTCATTTCCCTTCTTTGATAAGATGATGATACATGGGGTCGTTTTATTTATCTAAATAAAATTATTAAAAAAACCGACATACAAACTATAAAGAAAGATAAAGAAAATAACATGAAAAATTAAAAACCTATCAAGCGATTTTAGTAGTTGAAATGAGTGTTATTTTTTTTGAGATCTTAGATTCGAGCAATTGTGTCCGTATGGTGTGTGTGGGTTGTCAAGGGTTAAGAAAGATTATGAACAAATATCACCCTTATAATCATCTCGTACCATTAAGAAAAACATGAAAAACTAAAAATCTACGTTAGTGATCAAAATGAGAAAATAATAATAAATTGGTGACTTATAATGTAGTTTATCTTCTTTTTTCTCATTTTGTGCGTATATATATATATATATATCCGTGATAGCATGTGCCCGACCTTGCTACTATTATTTATTTATATATATTCTGAAGCATACCACGTTTTCATTGAGCAAAGGAAAACAATTTTACAGAAACTTCTTGTAGAATTGCAGTAATTCACGTCCCCCATTGTACAAGAAGCAAACATGACTCTTGTTGATGTAGGAGATTCGCCTTCAAGGCTAGAGGTTTGTGTTTTTTCTTCTTCTTCTTCTTCATTGGTACTATCAATGGTGTTTAAGATTCTTCTCGATTTAACTACATGCATTATTCACTATTTTACCCTGGAAATTAATCAGGGAAAGGTCAGTGCCACAATAATTTGCTGGATTCTGGGATTCGGATCTATTGTTTCTTGGAATAGCATGGTGACAATAGGAGATTATTACTACAATTTATTTCCAGTAAGTAACTCTCTGCTTTTATGTTGAAGAAGCTACAAATCTATGGAGTTTTTTTTTTCGTTTTCTGAGATCATTTGGTCTAATGATTTTTTTCTTTGCATTGGAAGAACTACCATCCTTCTAGGGTGCTTACTCTCGTTTATCAACCCTTTGCTCTCGGAACAGTGGCGATACTGACATACAAAGAATCAAAGATCAATACAAGACGAAGGAACATAATCGGCTACTCCATTTCCTTTGCGAGTACTTTCATGCTTATACTGGTAAAGTTAACTACTCCTATATATGCATATTCCTTCCACTTGGTTGAAAACAAGCTTTATCTTTTCTTTGATAGTTGGACTTAGCCACATCAGGGAGGGGAGGACTCGGATCGTACATGGGTATATGTGCATTAGTTGCTTCGTTTGGAGTGGCGGATGGCTGTATTCAAGGTGGAGTTGTTGGTGATTTATCTTTCATGCTCCCTGAATTTATCCAGGTTGTCTTTCTAGGATAAACTATGATTTTTATCGCTCAAATTTCAAAATCAACTCAATCGAAGTTGAGCAGTGAAAAGTGTAGTTTACCCTTTTTCTTTTATATATTTCCCAAGGTTTTAGGTACTTGATTTAATTGTTAATGGCTGTTCCGTTGTTCAGTCCTTCTGTGCTGGTTTGGCTGCATCTGGTGCTGTGACCTCTGCTTTGAGGCTTATCACCAAAGCAGCCTTCAGTAACTCCGACAACGGTCTTCGAAAAGGAGCACGTATGTGGCTTTTCTTCTCGGAAAGGCATCTCTGAAAAGTTCATTGATTAATTGTCTTTCCTTTTTGCAGTGTTGTTTCTAGCTATTTCTACATTTTTCGAGTTCCTTTGTCTGCTGTTGTATACATATTACTTCCCTAAATTGCCAATAGTGAAGTACTTCCGGTCGAAGGCAGCCTCAGAAGGAGCAAAAACTGTGAAAGCTGATCTTGTAGCTGCTGGAATCCAAACCAAAGATGACCAAGTCAGTGCTGCAACCTTTTTCTAACATGGTTTTTGTCAGAACTCTTTAAACATTCCTTAATCGTGTATAGTCCTTTTCATTTTTCCAGCATGAAGAGAATGCTAATCAAGTTGAGCGGCTAAGCAACAAGCAACTATTCTTGCGAAACATAGACTACGCACTTGACCTTTACCTGATATACGTCTTGAAATTGTCGATTATCCCCGGATTCTTATTCGAAAACACCGGTGAACACCAGTTGGGTACATGGTAAGTCGTCATTGACAATCACACCCGTCAGCCCTCCCTTGGTCTATCCCCTGTCTAATGGTTGATATGTTTTTCAGGTATCCACTTGTGTTGTTAGCAGCTTTCAATGTGTGGGATCTGATATCAAGATATCTTCCCCTAGTGAAATTCTTGAAGATAGAATCCAGAAAAGGTCTTATGATTGCAATACTTCCTCGTTTCTTACTGATCCCTGCTTTCTACTTCACCGCCAAGTACGGCGATCAAGGGTGGATGATATTGCTCGTATCGATCTTGGGTTTAACGAATGGTTACTTTATCATCTGTGTCATGACTACAGCACCTAAAGGCTACAAGGTTTGTGTCACCATTGTCATTTGCAGCTTGAGATTTCCTAGAAATCTTAGTATAAGTAACAGTTTCTAATGAAAAACTTGTTTCTTTTTTGTAGGGACCTGAGCAAAATGCACTGGGTAATTTACTAATACTATGTTTACAGAGTGGAATATTTTCAGGGATAGCTTTGGACTGGTTGTGGCTCATTGGTAAAAAGAATGCCTTCTAATATATTTAACTCTTTCTTGTCAAGTACAGCTAACATATCTCAGTGGTTAAAATGAATTATTGTTGTTCTTAGAGGTCATTAATTTAAGTACCAGTGTCTGTAAGAGTGATTGAGTGTTCAGTTTCAGATAGTTAAGAGTACTTAAAACATATATTACTTTATAATCACATTCAATTTAATAAAAACAAAAATTGTTAGTAAATATAATGCTCATAATACCCTTTTAAGATAGTGACATAAAATTATAAAGTTATTATCTTTTTCAAACGTTTTTAAAAAACACTTAGATTTTTCTAGAATTTAATATTTGGATCACAAGTATGTCTAAAATTTATTAGCATAATATTTTACTCTCAATCATCTGATATTGAACGCTCATATTCCTACATACATAATGCTCGAATCCGGACCTCAATGAATAATAATTCCTCCTTAACCACTTGGATCAAAAATAAAAACTCCATATATATACACACTCCATGTAGCACATTCGATCAAAAAATCGATAAAGCAAAGGTTCAACAAAATTTCCAATTCTTAAACCAATTAAGCTCGTATACATCAAAATATTTGTCCCTCTATTTTGCAAAGAATTTAAAGAATATGGTTTTTTTGACACTTTATTTCCTTCCTGTGTTGCCCCCATTTTTCTTTACAGTTTTCACCTGTGATTCATGGGGGCTAAGATAATAAACAGTGAAGCGACAATTAATTTCAGAAAATCTTGAGAGGATGCCTTCAACAAACCATGTCCGATAATGTTGTTTTATGGAGCCATCAGCCCATCAATAGTGTAGGAAAGAGATTTTGCCCAGTGAGCTTTGAGTAGCAATGTCTGTAGCGTATGCATTATGTTATATCCTGGATCTAGTTTCCTTTGCCAACCCTACATGTTTAAACAAGTACAGAAATGTGGTAATGATTTAAATCAATTGACCGAGATCAAAATGATGATCATATGGAGTAGGTTTATTTCCATGTAGTGAAGGCCTTTCAGCAAGTCAAGCGTAGGACCGTCGGGAAACTATCCCGAGATCGGATACACCCCTATTCTTAATTTTGAGACTCAACTAACCGGACAGATATATTCCGTCTCCAATGGATGATTAAAGGATCGATATGAAAGTTCGGATAAAGAAGAAAGTTACCTCGAGAACCAATGTTGTGACCATCACAGTGCATACATTGCCATCGATATTGACTCTGTGACACCTTACTTTCTCAAGGAGTTGATGCATGCATTCAGCCGGATGGACAAGATCACCCTCTGGAGTACCCCAAAAAGTGAAGGCTTCTTCTACTTCCTGCCTCAACAAGGTATTAAAAAACTAAGCATACGAGCGCGCACACATGCGAAGAGCTTGTTAGGAAAGGAAGAGTTGCACTACGGGAATATACATGGGCACATAAGGAGAAAAAAATAACAAGAAGGCACATCTGCATTCATCACCTCAATAAAAGCCTTAGGATTCGGGCAGTTTTGTTGTTGCGATAGTCTGAGCGTGCACTCTGCTGCAGTCCGTCCATCTCTACGGGCAACAGCCTTAAAAAATTCCAATAAGTTTAGGCGGTCACCGTTAGAAAGTTCAGCAGTCATGCCTACATCAAGGAAGATGACATGCGGCTTTGATTTCAAAAGCCGTTTTCGAGTAGCCTTGTTCTGAGACATCCGGACAAGGATATTGCCTGGATGCATGTCTGCATGAATAAAGTTGTCCACCTGAAAGAAGAAAATTATAAAAATCAACAATTGGGAATGAGATACAAATGTTATGAGAACCATAAGCAAACCAATTAGAAATGATTACCAGAAGCATCTTCAAAAGTGCATGAGTTCCGATATGAGCAAGTGCGGCCTTAATCCGATCATGTCCTTGAAGGTCATCAACATAATACGCGACACTTTCCCCTTGCTCATAAGTTTCCACTAAAACAGCAGGATGCACAAGCGGATACACTGGCTTCGGGAAAGAAACATCCCTCCACCTCCGGAAATTATATATAAAGCGGTTCAAATGGGCCGCTTCCCTTGCGAGATCAACTTGAAACATCATGAAAACACCAAACTGCTGGACGCTCTCGTCCAATCTTAACCAATTCAGAGTTGGAATGAACCTTGATAACTTTGCCACTGAGTTGATAATCATAAAATCTCTCCTAATCGATTCACCAACACCGGGATGTCTAACTTTTACTGCAACAACCATGGGCTTGACCTGCTGACCGGCGAAATCTCAAAGTAGCCCGGTGCACCTGAGCTATACTTCCAGATGCCACAGGTTCCTCTTCAAATGCTCAAAAACTTCAGAGAGCTTACGGCCAAATGCACTTTCAATGGTTTTCTTTGAGTAGGCAAAGCTATGTTCTGGAGCTTTACTATGAAGCTCTGAAAGCTTGATGCAAAGGTCTCTAGGGAAGAGATCCGGCCGCGTTGCCGCCCATTGACCCCACTTTATGAATGCAGGACCCGCAATTTCAAGTGTGCGATGCACAACCTCAAGCCACTTTTTCCTGAATTGAGGACCACAAGAATCGGAAAACGGTGCCATTATTATACTAGGAGAGAACAAAACTGTAAGATACAGAGCCCTCACCAGCAATACAACACCTTCAAGCACTGAAAGTAACAAAGAGGAAACAAGAGCATGCCCATTTCGTGCTTGCATGGAGAACGAATTCTGCGATGAGTGATACTCTGGCTCTACTAAAGTTCTCTGTGCCAGTGCCACTCGTCCATACGTCAAGCCAAGAACACCAGGAACTATCAGATGCGAGCGGGATAATGCTAAGCTGACTGCTTGAGCAATCCTGCTTATGCAGGGGGATGCACGACGACTGGCAAAACATTTACAAGCAAGCTTTTCCAATTAACCTGAGCATGCTGAGTCATCATCACTGCACTACTGGCAGAGAAAAAGGAATGGTTCCTGGCAAAATAACCTCGACACAACCCATCCTTGGCATTCTGCAATAACAATGGGGGCTTTCCTTCAATGATGAACCTATAATCGGAGTACACACTGTATTGTGGCCGGCGCAATCCGATGGTAACAACCGTTCCATGCTTCCTACAATCTGAATGGATCCTAGTATGGTTTGAAAAAGCAGATTGTGCAGCTTTCCTAATAGTTGCAAATGTCAAAAGTCTGTATTCCAACAATTCTCTCATCATTAACCATGTAAATTCTATAAATCTTAGACTCTATTCTAAATTTCTTAAAAAGAAAGGTAATCATTCAAAACCCAATTGTCAAATTCACAAAACATAACAGCACAAATTCTTTTCTACCTCCTAAGTTGTTGGAAATAATAATTTCATCTCTCATATAGAAATAGAACTCAAAGCCCCAAAACCCAGGAAACATAAAAAGTTCTCATAAAATGAATCAAAACAGCTCAAAAGGGTCAAGTGATGAACCTGGACATTGCGATACAGATAAACAAGGTAAAAGAGGGAGCTTTGAAGAGGTTAACGTACGAAGGCTGTGAACAATAGAAGCAGCAGCAGAAAACGAAGTACTTGAATGCATTTTCTCATGGGCGAGTCCCTTTTGATCAACAAACAAAACCCGGGTACATCTTTAATGCCCAAAACGCCATTCTTTTGCTTACGTGACGGTAAAAACCCGGACGCGGCAGAGGATGAAGAAGAAAGAAGACATCTTCGGCAGCTTGAATGGGCCTGAGGTTAGAGAAGATGTCGACTCGGGTAGTTCTGGGTGGGCTTCACGCAGTTGCCTTCTTTATTGGAAAGGGTCAAAAAAGCAAACTCCGATGATTCTGGAAAGGACAAAATATCCTGGAGCCTCTGTAGCTAATTCCGTTAATGAAATCGAATGGCCACTAAAGGTTGAATCTTTGATTCAAATTTGGTGGCTAAATATTTCCAGAGCAGTTGACCTTATTCCCAAATTCAAAAAACAATTTACTATTATATATATAGTCATTGGTTACGTCTGCTTCTTCCATGGTTATTTCCTCTGAGCACTAACAATCTATGTTCTAAGAGGCCATAATCGTCCCAAAATGTCTGGAATCATTGCAAGAAAGTAAGCAACAGCTCGGTCGGACAAATCATATGCCATTGTCAGCCTAATCAAATGGAAAAGTTTGGAGAATAATCTATGAAGCACTAATCCATCATCATTGGGCAGTTCCAATTCTCATTATCTTAGCATTACAATCTCTGGCTTGTTTTTGGGTCTCTTAGAGGATTAAAATCTGGGCCATTCTCCAATTGTAAAATGTTTCAAGAAAATTGGGGTTCTTGCCAGTGTTGATTGGAGACATAGCTAAGGGTTTTATTGTTCGATTTTAATCGAATTAACTAATGGAACTAAAATTTAGTATGATTAATCAATCGAGTAATTAGATGTATCCATCAACGGTCAAACAAATTTCAAAGTTTGATGGTTAGTTATTTCGATTTGAAATAGACTAATTAATCGAATTAATCGGAATATTAAATATATATATATATATATATATATATATATATATATATATTTAAGCACAAACTCATTTAAAATCAATATCTAACTATTTTTTAAACATTTACACTCATATAACTTTTAAGATCTAATTAAATTTTAATTAAATGACAAAAAAGTCATCAATTAAACTCAAATTAATCTAACTAAAAATTTATAATAAATTTCAATTAATTTAAAAATAGACCAAATTAACTGAAACTATTTAATTTAATTAATAATTTTAAAAAATAATTAATTCAATTTAATCGATAATAGAATTAACTTATGAACTCTCCTAAACACACCTTCTTCATAATAATTTACCACATAAATAAATTTATGGATGATTATGGGAAGTATAGTTTACTATACATGTATAAAACTATAGAAATTTAATTTTCAGTAACAAAATGAACTTCATTTCCAAGGAATCGTATCCTTAGCCTCCCTCGATTCATCCCAATACATGTGTCAACAAATAGCGGGCCTAAAATTAATTGGGATGTAGCTGAGGATCTCATATAAAAAGTCGTCCGACATACCATATTTCT